TCTGTGCCTGCCAGCAGCTACCTCAGCTCTGGGTAGCTGCTGGAGCCCAGGCTGGTATGAGCAGGGCTTGCAACTGCCTGCTGGGAGCAGCCAGGGATCCCAGCTGGCAGCAGCTCCCCAGACCCGGGGCGGCTGCAGCTGAGAGGTTCCAAACAGCTGTGCCGGGCTCTGGCACCAGCTCCGCACCCGCATGAGCAGGCGTGCCTCAGAGCAGGTGGTGGGGGCGGGGCCTGAGGCAGCGCAGCCCGGGTCTCTCCCCTGTTCTTGGCATGGAGGTGATGAGCCCAGTGCAGCTGTTTGTAGCCAGCTCGCTGCTGCAGCTGCCCAGAGCCCAGGCAAGACCGCATCCCCATCACCTGTGAATGCTAAGTGGCTGCAAAACCAACTAGAAAAGCTAGATATTTATAAGTCAGCAGGACTGGATGGACTTCATCCAAGTGTGCTGAGGGAGCTGGGTGAGGTCATTGCGGAACCCCTGGCAAAGCTCTTTCAGAATTTGTGGTTGTCACAGAGCACTCAGGTGCCCTGCTCCTGAGAGCAGAAATGGCTCAGGAGAGGCCCCTAGTGGCAAGAAGGGGGAGGCTCAGCTGCCAGTTACCAGGGCAGCCAGAGTCACAGGTACTGGTTGGTAGGGCAACCGGTGGGGAGACAGCTGACAGGAAGGGGCAGGGCCTGGCCCTTCTTAAGTCCCAGGCATGAGGCCAGGAGGGCAGTTCCCCTCTGGTGACCAAGGGAGGGGGAGCTCGGCCAGTGCAGACAGAGGGGAGAAGCCTGACTGCATGAGCATCCCCTGATTGCTGCCATGGGTTGGAGTATTTCCTGGTAGGGATTGAGTGTTGTTTGGCTGGATGGTTTAGCTTTTTATGTTATAGCCTGGGGGCTTTGTGTTTTTGTGTTTGCTGTTTTGACTGGAGGACCAGGTGAGGCTATTAGGGGTTGGAGGAGGCTTGTAGGGGCTCCATGGTAGTGTGGGGACCCTGGCGCCAGAGAGGGCGCAGCATTTGGGGTGTATTGACCCCAGCCCCAGAGAGCAAGGGGGCAGTGAGACACCCCAGAGCAAGGGGGGCAGTGAAGAGCCCGGAGAGAGGGATGTGAGGTGCGAGAAGCCCCAGAGCAAAGGGGAGCAATGAGAAGCCCCAGCGCAAGGGGGAGGGCAGTGGAAAGCCCCTGAGAGAAGGCAAGGACAGGGCCAAATCACAGCAGGGCCCAGGTCAAATACCACGTCAGTACCATCTGCAAGGATTGGGCAGCAGTGTAGGGGAGGAAAATGAGCTGCAGATAGCGCCCCCTGGCACTGGGGTGTGTAAAGTGGGCAGCCGCCCGCTAATTACATCAATCAATCAAGATCAAGGCAGGCGAGTAAGCAGGCGGTTGGCCCGTAACAGGAGGGCGGAGTCACCAATAGAAAGGCTCCAGTTGCAATACTCCTGTCACAGTGGTACACAGGAGAAATCCCTGAGGATTGGAAGAGGGCCAACATTGTTCCCATCTTCAACTATAGGGAGGACCCAGGCAACTATAGGCCAATCAGCCTAACTTCCGTCCCAGGGAAAATTCTGGGAAAGCTCATTAAAGAATCTATGTGCAGTAAGCTTGCAGAAAGTAAGATTCTGAATGACAGCCAGCATGACTTTGTTGTGGGTAGGTCTTGTCTTACCAATGTCATCTCCTTCTATGAACAGGTCTCTAGATGAGGTAGACATTATATACCTAGACTTCCAAAGGACTTTTGATCTAGTACTGCACGATATGCTTCTGGGAAAACTGTAAGATTGTGGGCTCAGCTGCTTGACAGTTCAGCGGGTGGGAAACTTGCTACAGCAGGGGCGGGCAATTATTTTGGGCAGAGGGCCACCTACCCAGTTGTGGCAAGCTGTTGAGGGCTGCATGGGTAGCCCCGCCCCTTCACAGGTGCACTGCCCCTTCACAGGTGCCCCGCTCCCTGGTCACCATCTTGGGACCAGTGTCCCAATGTCTTGGAACCAATGTCTCAGGCCCAGCACCAGTGGGGCCCAGAGCAGGGCGCAGGCTGGCTGGGGTCTATGGAGCCAGGCTGGGCTGCACCAGCAGGAAGGTGGGGAGCTTGCCCAGATCCATAGAGCCCCTGCCAGCCGGGACCCTGTACTCCTGCCACCCTGCTCTGGGCCCCGGTGGTGCTGGCCCTGGGACACCCGTATGGGCCCTGTGCAACCACTCACTCCCAGTGCACCCCAGCTCTGCAGTACAGGTGGGGGGCAGCATGGAGCCCTGACCCCCTGCTTGCCGGCAGGGGACAAGCTTGTGCTGGGCCTGGGGAAAAGCAGCCCCTCCCCTGCCCCGTGGCTGGCACTCCCTGCTGCACCTGCTCGCAGCCTGGGGCACTGGGCATGGGGCAAGCAAGGGGCCACCTCCCCCCTCCCTGTGCTCAGCACCAGCTTGTAACCCGCTGCCAGCTGGGTCCGGGCTCACCCGTCAGGGCTGCACATGGTGGCAGCAGCTGCAGCCCTCTCGCTTGCTGCGCTGGGCAGCGTTTGCCACCATCGCCTCTGGGCTGCCCAGCACGCGAGATCCGGGTGGGCAGCAGCAGCAAACACTGCCCAGCATGGCAAGCGAAGGGTTCGCAGCTGCTGCTGCTGTGCACAGCCCCAATGGGCGAGCCCGGAGCCGGTGCCGCACCCAGGCTGGCAGCGGGGGCGGGTTAAAAGCTGGTGCTGAGTGCAGGGAGGGGAAGCGGCCCCTCCCCATGCCCAGTGCCCTGTGCTGCAGCCGCTCACAGCCTGCACGGGGCTGCCTGTGCCTGCTCAGGACAGCCCCGCGTGGGCTGGAGTGGCTGCAGCAGGAAGTGCTGGCCACAGGGCAGGGGAGGGGCCGCTTTTCTCCACGCTCAGCTTTTCCCCAGTCTGCTTTTCTCTGCGCTTCTTCCCTGCCCGGGGTCCTCTCCTACCTTCCCCACCCCCCTTACCTGAGCTTCCGGCACCAGTGCAGCCACATGGTTCCAGGCCAGAAGCCCCTGGTGGGGCTTCAGGCTGGGGGGGGCAGGGCTGGGGGGGCCCTGCTGTTCTGGGAGCCCTCCAGGCTTCCCCTGGGTCCTAATGCCCCTGGTTCCTGTGATTTTTGTCAGGAGCCAAAGACAGATAAATATTAATTGTCTAAATTTTTTAGGGGCCCCTCAGGCCAGATAGAATGACCTTGTGGGCCACATTTTGCCCACCCTTGTGATACAGGGCAGGACCCAGAGAGTTCTCATGAACGGATCTATGTCGTCCTGGCACAAAGTGGCTAGTGGTGTC